AGAGAGAAAGAGAAAGCAATCCCCATGAGGTGAGGTCATGTTACAATCCCTTTCTTTCACTCTCTACCCTGTCAGGGTTTGGGGCATGAACACACATGCACCCAGTGTTTTTTTCAAGTCACCAGGGCCAGGATTTAAATAAACAGTGTTTTGCCATGTGAGATCTGGCTTCCTACACATAGCATTTAACCACTATGCTACAGAACTGGCCTCCTTCTTTACTTATTCCACAAGTAAAGGAGACAGAGAGACACCACTCCCAACAGGGTCTTGATGCTCCAGTCCACCACTGAGCATGGGCACTCTTGCCTGGGATACTCATGGAGGCCCCAGGATGTGAACTGGTAACCTTCCCACTTGAGTCTGCTTTGCGGTGTCACATTTTGCCACTATACCACCATTTGGCCCCCAGCACTGGTACTTTTAGAAAAACATCTCAGAAAATTTGAATATGCAGCCAGGGTTGAGAATCAATGGATCAGACAGACCTATCTGACAAGGAACTTGGTCTTCAAACTCCAAAGATCCAGTCTTAACTATTATGCTATTTTGCTTTACACTCTGATTTAGACATCTGTCAGAGTGATTAAGGTTAGAAACAGATTAGTCCACACATACAATCAGTTGCACTTTGGCTCCTGAGGACAGACTGAGCTGGGCATGACAGCGACGGCTGGCTACACTTACCTAGCTGGACTTTAAGAAGGTTGTATTGATCCTTTTGCTGCTGAATCTGAGACATCTGCTGTGTGACTGCTGTCTGGAGCTGTTCGTTTTGACATTTTAATGTGGAAACTTGTTGCCTTAATTCCTCGAGTTGTAGATCCTGTGAAACAAAACATAATTTGAGTGTTCTCCGGTCATACTAATTAGCATTAAGAAGATGAACAAGGCTAGCCCGTGGCCTGGTGGTTAAGATGGCTGAATCCCACATGGCTGATCACAAGATCTTAGTCTTGGTGGCTGAAGAAACACCTCAGGTTGGGACCAGCAGTTAGCATGATGGCTATGTCACGGGACTCCCATGTAGTAGACCACGGTTTGAGTCCCGGACCTGGCTGCTTAAACTCACACTGGGGACGTGTGTGTGTGTGTGCGTGCTCAAGATCCCGAGAGGAGAATGGAGAAGGGATTGTGGCGTGGCCATCCCCCCTGGGGTGCAATTTTTCGCTTTCTGTCTCTCTGTCTCTCTCTGTCTTTCTGGTGAGCGCATGTGCCCTATAACAAAAGCCTCTCCAAAAGAAGAAAAAAAAAAGAGAAAACACCTCAGGCATATGTGCATGCATGCCCCAAATCCTGAAAACAGGGAGAAGTGGAGAACGGATTTTGGTGTGATCAAGCCCTATAGAGGATCTACTCTTGCACCTCAAATTTCTCCTTTACACAGCATGTTCTGTGTACATGCTGGGAATGCTAAACTCAAGCCTACTATGCTGTTTGTCTCCTCTTACCTCGCTTCTCTTCCTCTACTTCTGTCTAGCTTATTCCTATATTCATCCTTTTGGGATTCGGCTTGTTTTCTGCAAGCCCCCGTTCCCACCTAGCTAAATCAGGTCTCTCAGTATGATTATATACCTTTGATTAGCTCTATCACTAGACTTACTATGTTGTAATATGCCAGGTCATCTATTTGAATCAGAGGGTTATGCTGTAGTCACAGGAGACTGATATGGAAACTTGTCTGATTCATGTTTTTATCTAAAACGCTGTGCACAGTGATTAAACAATCATTTTTGTTGAATACTCAGATACTTGGAAAATAAAGACATTTCCTTCTTTTGAAATGTCAGCAAAATGTTTTCCTTAAAGTGGCAAGTATCTGGCAGTGACCAGAGAGCATTTATAGTCATCAGCACTTACTTGCTCACGAATCATATTTTTGTAGTGAGACACAATACTGTCATGCTGTTCTAATGTTTTCTTCACCTCTTCTTCTTTTTCATCCTCTTCACTGGATTTATAAATAGCCTTAGTTATAACACCTGTAAAAGAAAGCTTACTTAGAATTTGTTTAAAACATTTTAAATACTATTTTATTATTAAGATTTAATCGGTAAAAATATATAGCTTAACTCTATGGCAGATAAGAAATAATATTTCTTTCTTTTCTCTTTAGAATTATTTTATTTTATCTTTATTTTTTTATTCTTGTGATTTTCCAATTTGACCAGAGAGAGACAGAGAAAGGGAAAGTGAGAAAGGAAGCCACCAGGTCCAGGACTTGAATCATGGTCAGTCATGTAGGAGTCCAGTGCCTTTAACCACCACGCTACCTGCTGGTCCCAAGAAATAATATTGCTAATCTTACTGAAAGTCAAAAGTCCTTCAGTGGGCTACAGATCATGAACAAGGATTAAAAAAAAAAAAATCTACCTTTAGGCTTATTATATAATCTGCATCTACCCAGAATATACATATACATATAGTCTAACTCCTTTCATTTTCTTTCTTTCTTTTTTTTCTTTTTTTTAAGTTTTTGCTATAGGGCGAGTGCATTCACCAGAGAGAGACAGAGAGAAAGAGATAGAGAAGGAAAGTGAGAAATCACCCTCCAGGGGGATGGCCACACTACAAGCCATTCTCCTCCATATTCCTCTTATGATTTTGGGTACACACACACACATGCCTGGCATGACTTTCAAGCAGCCAAGTCCAGGATTCAAACCATGGAATTGGTCATGTGGGATCCAGCTACCTTAACCTCCATGCCACTGCTGGCCTCCCACAATTACTTTCTAACGAATGGCAACACAAACCTTGTTGTCTTACCTTCAAGTTCTTTTACCAGCTTTGTAAACTCATGATCAAATATCATGTATTCTGGACTGGGAAAGTTTGGTTGGGGTTTCTGGGATGCTCTGGAATATAACTCGTGTTTGCTAATAAATCCTAGCTTCTCTATAAAATTCTCTTTTCCAATCCTCTTCTCGATTAGTTGTTTTAGTTTCTCTCTACAGAGATAAGCATATAGATGCTTTAAAATACACAAAATGGTAACAAAACATCAAAATTGCTGTTATTACACATGGGCAGAGAAAAAGCATATCGCTGTCTCTTGATGCCATTAGAGTCCTGTCCTCCTTACTTACTTCATGTAGGTCTCAAGTGAGTTGTCGTTGAAGTAGATCGAAATGCCCAACAGAAGGGCGCATAAGCCCTGCACCAGCTGCTCTTCCTCCCCAAGGTTTTCTGCAATTTGGCCTGTAAGCTGAAACCTTTGTTAAGGAGGCTAATGATCCATAATATTCAGAATGCCTTCTTTTGTGATTTAAACTTGACACATGTAAGAGAATTCCTACAAGACATCATAAGCAAACGATAGTACATATACACACACACACACACACACACGGCACAACCAAGTATCATGACAATTTTAAAGGTTCAAGAAGTTGTGACACAGATAAAATTCAAACATTTTGGGCATTGAGAAGGAGAAATAAAAAAGAATACTTACAGGTATGTTACTAATCATAAAGGATACGAATGGGACATTAGCTGAATTGTGAAGAAAATGTGTTACTGCAATGGGACAGTTGCTCAGCCAGGTACAAAGCAACATTAATAATCCAACTCTTGTCTGTATTTTGCTTCCCTGCAATAGATAAGTTGGCAGAAATCCCGTTTCATTCATTTGATTTTTTGTTAAACTTAATATTGCCCTAAGATCCTTTCTATGTGCATAAATAGAGTTTTGACATCTCTAAAAGCTATGTCAGAAATCTGGATTTTTAAAACTGAGTAAGAGAGGGACCAGCAGATAGAGTAATGGTTACATTGCTGGACTCTTATATAGTCGACCACGGTTCAAGTTTCGGACCCGATAGCTTAGAACTTACACTGGGCTTGTGTGCGTGCATGCCCAAGATCCCGAGAGGAGAATGGAGGAGAAGCGATGGTGGCATGGCCGTCCCCATGTGGGGGGTGATTTTTCACTTTCTGGCTCTTTGTTTCTTTGGTGAGTGCATGTGCCTTATAGCAAAAATCTCTCTTAGAAAGAAAAAATAACAATAAAAACAAAACTGAGTAAGAGAATGTGTTCCTGTGACCAGAACAGACTGTACTCCCCAAAAGGAGCAGAGTGCAGAAATCAGAGTGGATTCATGTTCATAAGCGTATATATTTAAAATATTATTAGGAAAACCTGATCAGTCAAAACATTTATGATATGGAGGCTTTAAAAATTATCTATCAGGGGTCAGCAGATGATATGGTGGTTAAGGCAGCTGGATTCCACATGGCTGACTTCATGGATTGAGTCCCAGAGCTGGCGGCTTGAAAAAATAAGCAGGGTGTGTCTGTACACATGCCCAAAATCCCAAGAGGAGAAGGGATTGTGGCATGGACATCCCCCCGAGGGGTGATTTCTCACTTCTCCCCTCTTTCTCTTCAGTGAGCGCATGTGTCCTACAGCAAAAACTTCAAACAAATAAACAAAAACTGTTAAATCCAAGACACTTTACAATAAATTTGGCAAATTTAAGGTAATTTCAATCAGAAGTTTAAAAACAAGTTCCTGCTAAGAGGATAATTTTTTTTTAAAGAGATTTTTGCTATAGGATGCATACACTTGCTGGAGAAACAGAGAAAGATAGAGAAAGAGAGAAATCACCCTTCAAGGGGGATGGCCAATCCCTTCTCCTCCATGCTCCTCTTGGGATTTTAGGCATGCACACACACGCCCAGTATGAGTTTCAATCCTCCATGTCCAGGACTCAAATTGCGGTCAGCCACGTGGGATTCCAGTGCCTTAACCACTATGCCACCTACTGGCCCCAAGAAGATGCATTTTACTTTCTTCAAAAAGAAAAAAGGAAAGAAAGAAAAATAAATAAATAAAAACAGGATGGATAAAAAAAGAATAGTTTACTAAATCATTTGGTCAAATTCCCCAAGAGAATATACTCTCAACAAGAAAATAGATAAAGCATGCCACAAACTCAGGGATAACATGCCAGAGAACGAGAAATCACACGCATCATCAAGGGGGAGAAGACTAAGATTAGCTAAGTTCCCCAAACCACTCTGCTGCAGAGCACAGTGAACCAATATTTGAAATTACTACGTCTAGCTAGATTGGTGTTCTAAATTTTAATACAACACATTTACATCTATGTGGCCTGTTCTTTGTTCACAATACTGTCCCTGCCCACATTTATGATACTATACCTGAACTTACTTTATAAAACAAAAAACAAACAAACAAACAAACTTGTTTGAAATAAAGTAAGAAATACCAGCACAGCCATGCATCACTTTGGGAGCAACTGTCAGAAAATGTCCGGAATACAATTACGGCCATGTGCCACGCAATGACCTTTGGTCATCAATGGCCTGCATGTCTGATGGTGGCCCCACAGTACCTTCAGCTCTCCCACACAGCCCGGCTGTGCAGTAGGCTACACACCCAGGTTTGTGTTGGTGCTCTCTACGATGTTCCCACGAGAACAAAATCACTGAGCACGTTTCTCAGAATGTATCCCCACTGCTAAGTGATGCATAACTGTATTCAAAGACCTAGATAAGAAATAGATTTAAAGTAATAATCCGCGTGTTTTGAAAAATTTCTACAACCCAAACCTGTCTAATTTCATAAACCTCAATGCCAACATCTTAGTCTTTCTAGAATCTATTTTTGGTGGATTTAATATCAAATTACATGTGTTCAAACTGGATTTCTTCAAATGAGTTGCCAAATGAAGTATTAATATGAATTTAGTTTATATGTGGTGCGTTTTTCCCTTGCTTCAATGCGGTAATTGTGCACACCATGTGTCTTTGTGTGAACTGGAAAGTTAAAAATATAGTTACTCTTGGGAACCAGCAGTTAGCGTAATGGCTATGTCGTTGGACTCCCACGTAGTCGACCGTGGTTTGCGTCCCGGACCCGGTGGCTTAAAACTCACGCCGGGCGCGTGTGCGTGCATGCCCAAGATCCCGAGAAGAGAATGGAGGAGAAGGGATTGTGGCGTGACCATCCCCCCGGGGGGGGTGATTTCTCTCTTTCTGTCTCTATGTCTCTCTCTGTCTGTCTGGCGAGCGCACGTACCCTATAGCGAAAACCTCTCAAAAAAAAAATATATAGTTATTCTCAGATTACGTGCTACAGAGAACTTGTATGACAACTCAAGATATAAAAGTAAATGTTCTGTTGGTCTCCTTGGTTTTATAGGGGAAGTTTATTTTTTAGTATAACCATTAGAAGGCACCAAATATACTTTTGTTGTTTATCCAAGAAAATAGTATCAGTTCACTGGCTGATGTCTGGGTAAACAAAAACAGAATTAGATGCAAATCTGAATCTTCTAGAAGTATGCCCTTGAAGCTCTAATGGAAGGATAAGAACAAAGCTAAACATAACCAACTGAAGGACAGAATGGAACACAACTTTTATTATAGTAACAACAACAAGAAGATACAATGGGCCTAATCAAAATGGTATAAAACCGGGGGAACCAGCAGTTAGCGTAATGGCTATGTCGCTGGACTCCCACGTAGTCGACCGCGGTTCGTGTCCCGACCCGGTGGCTTAAAACTCACGCCGGGCGCGTGTGCGTGCGTGCCCAAGATCCCGAGAGGAGAATGGAGGAGAAGGGATTGCGGCGTGACCATCCCCCTGGGGGGTGATTTCTCGCTTTCTGTCTCTATGTCTCTATCTGTCTGTCTGGCGAGCGCACGCGCCCTACAGTGAAAATCTCTCAGAAAAAAAAGGGTATAAAACCTAAATAAGGAAAATCTTAAGACACTCATAAAGAGCCCAAGAGTAAACATAAGCCATTACAAAGAAACATACTCTTAGAGGAAGATTCAACATCATGAAGAGGTATTAATTCTAAGCTAATCTATAAAATTAATGTGACCCAAACAAAAATACTAAAATGGTTTCTCCCCCCCATCCCCGGAACTAAATAACCCAATTCTCAAATCAGGTTATTTAAATAAAATGAACGAGTGAGAACGATGAGGGGTTATGTGAAAAGAATACTTAAGGGATACCAGATTATGAGTAGCCAGGACTCAAAAGATAAAATGTGAAGTCCAGAAAAGGACCTGAGAACACACAGAAATGTAGTATGTGAAAATGGCAGCACATACCCATCAGTGGTTGCAGGTGGATTTTAAAAATGTTAGACTACTAGATAGCGATCAGGAAAAAGATCGGGGATCCATATCTCATAGAGTCTTTTGAGAAAAATGGACCAAAAATTAATGCCCCAAAATATCAAACAAACAAAACAAAATCCCCAGAGACTGTGAGATGAAAACATGAGTCAATTCCTTAAAATCTTGAAGTGGAAGGGCCCTTCTAGGTGTGACTTAAGATGCAGAAGGCATAAAAGAAAGGGAAAAAACCCTGAATGAAACATTAAGGTCAAAAGGCAAATGATGTATCACAAAAAAGAAGTCTGTAATTCATATCAAAGACACAGGTTTCTTTAGTTTAAACTGGACTGAAGATATATAACAAAAAATATACATCTCTTCCCAGAGTGCTCAGGGGAGCGGGGAACATCGAGAGGACTTGGAAAAACAAATGGAGGATAAAATGGTCATTTTGAGCCTCCTGAAAGTTTTGTTATTGAAAACCACAGAATTTATAGGATGGAAGAGAAACACAAACTAAATATTTAAAGATGAATTATTTAATATTTTTTAAGATTTATTTATTTGTTATTATTATTACTATGCTTTAATTTGACCAGAGAGAGAAACAGAGACCAACAGGGACAGTGAGGAAGCAAGCTGCCATATCTGGGACTGGACCCAAATATATAAATATAAATTCCTCTCATTCCTACTATGTATATCCCAAGTTTAATACTTTTGTATTATGTCTGTAAAAACATACAAAAAGCAAGAAACAAAACAAAACAAAAAAACCATACAAAAAGCCAACATTTTAAACTTCAAGTGTTCAAGCATTAAAAATGAGGTCCTGGCATATTATAATCAAGTTTATTTTCTAGTGTTTGCCTTTGGAGACAAAGAGCGAACAGGAAAGAGGCCTGTTGGAACCTTCTGGGATTGTGAAAATGTTCAACATCTTGTATTGGGTGGTGGTTACAGAGGTAGCATTCAAATATCATAAATCAACAGATTGATGGGATCGGCAGATGGCGTGGTGGATAAAGGTACTGGATTCCCACATGGCTGACCACAGTTCAAGTCCTGGACCTGGTGGCTTGCTTTCTCACTTTTTTCTTTCTTTCTTGCACTCTGTCCCTCTCTAGTCAAATTAAAATAAATGAAGAAAGAAAGAAAGGAAGAAAGAAATCATCAGATTGAATACATAAGGTCTATGTGTTTTACTGTGTACAAATTAATGCCTCAAAAATTCCCTTTTAAATGACTGACATGTATGTTTATAAAACACTTCCCCTCTTATTAAAAATTCTGCATGCTAAAGCTGATGAAGGTGGGTTTGTGTGTGTGTTACTAAACAATCATGTTCCTATACAAAGATACTGTTCCTAACAAGACTTTGGTTTTTCCACCCACATTGTTCAACTGAAATACCTGCCTCAATGAGGACATTATGGTACACTCCTTTTTCACCATTCAAAAAAAACCAGAAGAAACCAAAAACACATAGCACTCTCTCCCCCTATATGTCAATAACTAATTGCCAATGGTAGCTGTAGCATATGGATTATAACCAGAATAATCCATATATTTAATGCCAAATTTTCCAATTACAAAATTATACTTACTCTGGCACATTTAACATACTCTAAGTAATATAAAAGAAATCACATTCTTCACGTACCACTTGAAACTAAAAAAAAAAAAAAATCTGTTTCTCTAAATTTTACTTCCTTTGAAATGTTTTCAAAGAGAAATAAAGAGGCAAGCTTGTGGAAAGAAAATAAGAAAAACCAAAACCAAGAAATTCCAGAAAGTGCAAGCATCCCCAGAGGAAGCGGAAGTACAGAGCTTCGGCTTCTCACTGCTATAGTTCTTAGTGACACCACTGCAATGTCCCATGGAGGCAAACTGAAGAGCCACCGATGACAGAGAGAAAACGCTGACACATACGAGTGTGAGTAGAATGTAACTCCAAACAAGCAGTTAAAAAACCAATCAGCAAAACCCAAGACAAAGAAAAAGCCTTGCTGTAAGAGGAAAATGCCTTGGCTTGATCAAGTGATACATACCCGTCTGTCGATCTTATCACCCTGCAAATCATACATTAACAATTATTCATAAGTGTTACTACTTTAGAAATATCTAAATTTAGAAAACCCCCTCAAATACTCTCCAGTCTTTCTACAAATCCAAGCCAATGATTTGGGATAGGAAAGCTCTAACCTTTACTGTATAAAATGATGCATACTTTCAAGGAGAATTTTATAGCACTGTGATTATTTAGAGTTGGGAAGACACCACCATCTTCGGGATTTCTCATTATGCGTTCATTGTCATTACAATATCAAAGTGAAGTCTGTGATGATGGTGCTCAGTTATTTAGTGTTTGGCTTAAAAAAAAAAAAGCTGTTTTCAAAAAAATAGCAACATGAGAATGCCAAGTATTAAATAAGTAAAGATAAGAAAATTTTGGGGTAGTTTTTAAATCAGTAAGTGAAAAGTGATAAAGATAAAATAAGCTTTCGATTGAAGTGAACCAATTTTAAACAACATTCAATTCCCTTTTCTCTACAGCTAATTTGTAAGCTTTCATTTACAACTTCTATAGATGGCAGTCGTGTTTCTTTAAAAGCTTAAATGATGGGGCTGGCCAGCGGCGTAGCAGTTAAAAGGTCAGTGCTCTGTGAGCCTGCCTACGTGGGAAGGTTCTGGGTTCATAACCAGAGACCTCCCCAGCACAACAGAAGCTGGCCGAGGATGGGGATGAATTGTGAGGTTGGGACCCTGTAGGGGATTCAGTCTTTCTCTCTTGCTCATAGAAAAGATGAATTAATTTAAAAAAATGTTAAAAATAAAGATTCAATGAGATTAGCAAATGAAAAACGAAAGAAAGACACAGAACATGATGATGGAGAGTGGGCAGAGCAATCCCACCACTCGAGCAGTGGACAGAGCAGTTCTAGACTTATCCACATTTTACCCTCCCTAGTGACTCTGATGTTGCTAACTTTATAGTTCTGCTAAAGCACGAACTGGAACTGCCCCACAGCAAGGCTGGTACACTGGCAAATCATGTAACAGTAAGTGACATTCCTACACGCCTTATGACTATACTTCAATGAAGTCCTGGTCTCACTTAGAGTCTAAAGGCGTGCAAACATGTTTAGTCATGTTTTCTATATCTTACTAGGTAAATTATATGCACTGGGAACTTGGGGGTTTACAACTACACATACAATGGACTGCTATTATATATTTTCTGTTTCTAGATGATCAACTACTCTGCAAGAGAAAGAGGGAGGTATATAGCTAGGACCTATTTTATTTAGTCCCTCTTGTAAACTGATCTGAATTTGGTTACTGAGAAGAAAGAAAAAAGGATATGCAAGAATATTATAAATAATTCATTTAAAACATTCTTTTTGCTGTGTAGAAAAAGATGTACTTCCATCACGATACATATAACTATCTTGCTAAAAGATTCCTGTAAGAATATTGATTGCTTTCTTCTCTAAAATCGTTTCTGGTTATAATGAACGATCCAGTACATACATTCTCTCTTTCCTTTGTCATCTGTATCTTCTAAGGGCATCCTTAAATTCATTCAGATCGAAATATAAAGCTAAAGCACTTCCCCCCTTAAGAAGTTGCGCACTGCACTTACCTGTGAAAGGATGTTGGTGCACTGTTGTAGTAAAGAAACTGGAGGGTTGCCGATACTTGTAGCGAGCTGAACCCTGAGCAACTGTTCTTTCTGGGTAGCATTTTCTTGCAAAGCATGGGCAAGGGCCACAGCAGCACACCAGTTGGAAAGTGAGTCAGTAGAAAACAAACCTCCACATAATAACTGACCAGCGGAGACTGAATTACCTGTTGCTAGAAAGATGACAGGCAGATGATGAGCATATATTAGATTTTAACAAGGGGAGAGAAAACCATATTTTAAAAAATGGTTTTCTACAAACACACACACACACATGTTAGTAAGGAATACTATTTAAAATGTATTAGTAACATTAAATAACATTTTCAAAACAAAGTCTGCTTTCCAAAAGTGAACAGTGAGAGAAAGGTATCTTGGAAGAAAAGTAGCCAAGAAAAAAAATATTAGAGCACTTTAGGCATTGACCTATGACAGTGATACTCCAGAAAATTGCTACCATAATGAAAAACAATATTCCTTAAACACATTTAAGGAAGTACCACAATTTGATTATTTTACTACATTCAGAGTCTTATTTTCACATATGTTAAATAACTTTTACAGTAATAATATATTTTTTAACCAGAAAAATATTTTGGTAGATTAGACTTAAAATTTCAACAGAAAACACAACTTATATAACTAAAATGAGCTATACTGATGTTTCCAATTACCTTTGTTAATTGTTCTTAAAGTTAACAAAGACAAAGAATTCATTTCAGACAGAACGAAATAAACAAAGAAATCATAAAAAGGTTTCACTTGTATCAGAACAGAAGACCAAAATGTCAATATGATCAATGGTAAGATTTATCTTTGCAGTGGTGACAGAGACCCAGCTTTTGTTTACTGGCTGCCTCTATCATACTCCAGGTCTTGGGGTGAGTGTTTTATGGATTCACTGTATTAACCCTGACAATATTCCTAGTGAGGTATGTGTTATCACACATATGGGATAGTAATATCCTCTTAAAACATGATATGGTCAAGTTAAAGGTAACTTGCCCAAAGTTACAGAGCGAGAAGTGGAAATTCCGCAATGCAAACTCTCGTCTAATTCCAAAGCCTGTTCTCTGAATTTATCTCTAAGCTTTGAAACTCAGATATCCTTTCAAAGCATACAAAGTAGTTTAGACTAAAAGCACAGAAGAGAAAGATTCAATTAACAGCTTGAAAGACATTGATTTTTTTAAAAAACAGAAATTAGCACTAAGTTATTTACCATCAATGGTGGAAGGCAGCAGTGTTGACACAATTTCTCCTTGGCCTTTTTGGTTTTTATATAAGAAGCACTGGAAACAATAGAGAACAGCACAGCGCAATACAAATGGCTGCCTCTCATTAACCATGGACATGAGAAGTACTACAATTGCCGGTCTGTTGCGTTTAAAAAGAAAAGAACAAATTGAAACTTTGCAACCCAAGTACACAAATCAAGAACTAGTCATTTTTGTTGACTGAAGAACTAGAACACCAGCAAGTTAAGTATTTCCATTTCCATTTCCCAGAAAAGGAAACCACAGCTAAGAGAAGTCAATGATTTGTTTCCTGAAAGCACACAGCTAGGAAGGGAAGAGGTGATAATCTCGACCTAAATACCTTAATTCCAAAAGCACACCGTCTTTTAAAATATCAATACATTTATCTTGTCAGATAATATCTAGCTTCAAAACATACAACTGAACTTTTATTTTTAAGAATTATTTATTAATTTAATTAATTAATTTACAAATGGACCATGGACTCAAACCATGGTTAGCCATGTGGGAGTCTGGCACCTTAACAACTATTCCACCTGCTGGCCCACATCTGAGCTTTTTAAAAAAGAGTAAAATGTATATGTGAGATATATCAACAACCCCAAATTGTTTTTTACTTCCTTAGAGCAATCTCAGTATTGCCCTTTGCCTACCTTGGTGGGTTTGAAGGTGCATTTACAGAAGCAAAGTAGTCTTGATTTACTTGACAGCCCCGAATAACTTCTGATACAGTATTTATGGTCTGTTTTAAGGGGAGAGGGGGGAAAAAGAATAGTTAGTGAAAGTAAGTCAGGGATCTGACTTACTTTTTAAAATCTACTTTTTTTAAAAAAAGTAATGTTATATCCTGCTTTTTATTTTTCAATGTCATAATTTAGACACACACACACACACACACAAAATCAGTGGTAGTATTATAATATTGTTAAAACCTTTTCAAGACAGAAAATTTTATTTTTGGAGAGGTTTTTGCTATAGAGTACGTGTACTCGCCAGAAAGATAGAGAGAGACAGAAAGCGAGAAATCACCCCTCAGGGGGATGGGCACACTACAATCCCTTCTCCTCCATTCGCTTCTCGGGATCTTGAGCACGCAAGCAAATGTGCCCAGCGTGAGTTTAAGGCACTGGCTCCAGGACTCGAACCGCGGTCGACTACATAGGAGTCTAGCGACATAGCCATTATGCCAACTACTGGTCCCTCTAGATAAAATTTTAAAATATTAAATGTGGACTCCAATTAAAATGTGATCATTTAGAAAAATCTCAAAAAACTGGGACAACCAGATGATGTAATGGCTATGCCGCTAGATTATCCATGTAGTCAACCGCGGTTTGAGTCCTGGACTCTGTGGCTTAAATCTCATGCCAGGTGTGTGCATGTGCGTGTACCACACATCCAAAATCCCAAGAGGAGAATGGAGGAGAAGGGATTGAGGCGTGGCCATCCCTGTAGGGGAAGGGGGTGATTTCTCACTTTCTGTCTCCGTCTCTCTGTCAAATGCATGCACCCTATAGCAAAAATCTCTTAAAAAATATAAAAGAACTAAAATGAATAAATAGTATCTTCTAAGACATATGAGGTTCTATTACTATAAAACAAGAAGGGCCAGCAGGTGTCATGGTGGTTAAGGCACTGGACTCCCATATGGCTGACTACTGTTAAGAGGCCAAGAGGCTTGCTTTCTCACTTTCTCTCTCTGTCTCTGGTGAGTACACATATCCTATAGCAAATTAAAAAAAATAAAAGATAAATATAATTAAATAATTCTTTTTTAAAAAAAGTCTGCTTTAAAATAAAATCAGAAAACAAATTTAAAATGTAATACATTAAAAATTCAGTTAAGAGGCCAGCAGGTGGTGTGGTAGTCAAGGCACTGAACTCCCATAGAGCTGACCAGTTTAAGCCCTGGACCTGGCAACTTGCTTTCTCACTTTCTACCTTTCCCTCTCTGGTGAGCACATGTGCCCTATAGCAAATTAAAACAAAGTAACAATAACAAGTAAAATTCAACAGTTATAGGACCAGCAGGTGGTGTGGTGAAGGGTGTTGTACTCCCACAAGGTCAACCATGGTTCGAGTCCCAGACCTGGAGGCTTGCTTTCTCACTTTCTTTTTATTTTTTAAAAATTATTATTTATTTTATTTATTCATTCAATTATTTAATTTGACCAGAGAGAGATACATACACACACACAGAAAGAGACAGAGAGGGAAAGGGAGAAAGGAAGCCACCAGGTCCGGGACTTGAACTGTGGTCGGCCATGTGGGAGAGTCTAGCATCTTAACCATCATGTCACCTGCTTGCCCCACTCTCTCTCTCTTTCACTCTCTCACTCTGTCCCTCTCCGGTCAAATTAAAATAAATAAATAGGCAGTCTGAATCGCGGTGCGATGAAGGAGTAGTTGGTGGCATCTCACTGTGTGTCTGACTAGCCCCTTTTCTGCCTTGTGTGAGCTTCAGCAGAATTCGAAATGGCTGGTGGGAAGGCTGGGAAGGACTCTGCAAAGGCCAAGACAAAGGCAGTTTCCTGCTCGCAGAGGGCTGGCTTACAGTTCCCGGTGGGCTGTATTCATCAACACCTGAAATCTAGGACTACCAGCCACGGACGTGTGGGCACGACTGCTGCTGTGTACAGTGCTGCAACCCTGGAGTACCTCACTGCAGAGGTACTGGAACTGGCAGGAAATGCATCAAAAGACTTAAAGGTGGAGCGCATTACTCCTCGCCACTGGCAACTTGCTATTCGTGGAGATGAGGAATTGGACTCTCTCATCAAGGCTACAACTGCTGGTGGTGGCATTATTCCACACATCCACACATTTCTGACTGGGAAGAAAGGACAACAGAAGACTGTCTAAAGGATGCCCGGTTTCCTTATTATCTCAGGACACTAAATACTGTAACAGCTGTCCAGTGTTGGTGATTCCAGTGAACTGTGTCTGTGAAAAACACAATTTTGCCTTTTTGTAATTCTATTTGAGCAAGTTGGAAGTTTAATTAGCTTTCCAACCAGCCAAATCTCTGCATTCGAGTCTTAACCATATTTAAAGACTTCAATAGCTTTTAAGAATTTAAAGACTTCAAAGAAGCTATTAATTCTCAACTAGTAGGTTTTGACTGAGTTGACTATTTTTAAAAAACTGTTTGGATTTTAATTGTGATGCAGAAGTTATAGTAACAAACATTTGGTTTTACACAGACATTATATCCACTCTGGTGGATAAGCTCAATAAAGGTCATATCCCAAACTGAAAATAAATAAATAAATAAAGTTAAATAAAATAATTCTTTTTAAAAAATAAAATTATAAAAAATTCAGTTAAAAAATTCAATTTAAGAATGAGGTAAAGGGTTTGGCAGGTGTTGTGGTGATTAAGGGTGGTAGACTCCCACGTGGCTGACCACAGTCTGAGTCCTAGACCTGGTGGTTTGCTTTCTCACTTTCCTTTTCTTGCTCTCCGGTGAAATTAAAAAATAAAAAAATAAATAAAATAAAGTGAATAACTAAAAAAAAAAAAAAGAAGAAGAAGAAGAATGAAGTAAAAAGGGAGCCAGGAGGTGATGTAGCGGTTGAGGTGCTAGGCTCCCACTTGGGTGACCACAATTCGAGTCCCGGAACTGGTGACTTGCTTTCTCACTTTCCTTTTCTCTCTCCATATCTCTTTCCAAACTAAAACTAAAAATAATAATAATAATAATAATAATAAATACAATGTAATAATTTTTTAAAATGAGGTAAAAATAATTTCCAAGAAAATAGAATAAAAATATAAACTATATTTCAAAACATATATACAACAAATATAAGCAACTTTAAATTTTCAACCAGAAAAGTAATTTTTAAAAGGCAAAATATGTTCAAAAAAATCTAAAACTACTCTGCAGAGTTGCAGAGAAAGAATAAAAGAGGAACTTATTGAGATACCCTAAAAACATCCTCAGAACTGAAGGATATATATCTATAGCTGAAAAGGCTCAGTGAATGGCAAAAATAATTAGGGGTGGGAAAAGGTCCACAGTACAACACGTCATCAGTAAATTTTAGAAAACTAGAAATAAAGACCTCAAGAGTTCTAGAAAGAAAAGGCAGCTTTCATTTTTTAAAAAAAGGTGAGAACGCAGAATGGCTTCAGTCTTTTTATTTTTAAAAAATTATTTTATTGGGAACCAGCAGTTAGCGTAATGGCTATGTCGCTGGACTCCCACGTAGTCGACCGCGGTTCGTGTCCCGGACCCGGTGGCTTAAAACTTATGCCGGGCGCGTGTGCGTGCGTGCCCAAGATCCCGGGAGGAGAATGGAGGAGAAGGGATTGCGGCGTGACCATCCTCCCTGGGGGGTGATTTCTCGCTTTCTGTCTCTATGTCTCTCTCTGTCTGTCTGGCGAGCGCACGCGCCCTATAGTGAAAAAAAAAAAAAAAAACCTCTAAAAAAAAAATTATTTTATTTAACTTTATTTATTTCCCTCTTTATTTTAATTTGACCAGAGAGATATATATAGAGAGAGGGAGAGAAAGTGAGAAAGCAAGTCACTAGGTCCAGGACTTGAACCGTGTTTGGCCATGTGGGAGTCTAGCGCCCTTAACCACCATGCCATCTGCTGGCCCCAAGACTTCAGCCTTCTTAATAGTAACACTAGAATGTTCTCAAAGTTCAGTATTAGTGATTCCCAATCTGAATGTCAAACCTAGGCAAACATGAAATTAACTCTGAAGGTATAGGGAATGATATTTTCAGACACAGAAGAGCTAAAAAAACAAAACAAAACAAAACAAAAACTCTGGAATCTCTTGTCATTTCCTCTTTTCTAGGAAACAAGAAAAATAAGATAATGACCCAAGGGGTGTATGTATGTCGAGGGAAGACACAGGGTTCAGGTAATCAAAAAATCCAGGTCAAGAGAGAGGTAAAGGAAATTCTAGAAGGATGGCAGAAGGAAGCCCCAAACAAGCGATGTGCGGCAGAACTGGAGCTTGGGTTGGAGCAGGATGGAGGGCTTCTAGAAGGCTGGGCTGGAGAGCGAAATGTTAAGCATATGACAGTACTGACGTGCATGAGTGCACAGGAAATCAGCAGACCGTAAAAGAACACAATTATAACTCAAGAAAAAATTTTACCAAAAAAAGGCATAGGACTTCATTTAACACAGCAGCAACAGAGTTGGTATACTTGTAAAAACACTGTCAACCTGACTGTTTATTTAAATATAAATCACCTAAAATAATCTTGGGCTGACAGGAAGAAATGAAGTAGAATTTAAGGTAGGGATAGGAGAGGCCAAAGATAGCTGCCTTTCTTATAAAACTTTTATTATTATTTGTACTTTCAATGTGCATAAGTTAATTTGAGAAAAATTTAAAAAGACTAAAAAATTTTAAATAGACTGAACTTTTCTTCAAACTCATTTCTTTTTCTTATAGGTAAGAAACAGAAAATGCCACGCATTAGAAAAAGAATTTGCTATTCAATCAATGTACTTGTTGAATAAGAAAAAGTCACGGGACCAGCAGATGGTGTAATGGTTATGTTGCTGGATTCCCCAAGAATCGACCGCAGTTTAAGTCCTGGGGTGCACGTACGTGCATACCCAAGGTCCTGGAAGGAAAAAGGAGGAAAATGGGAGGAGGAGAAGGGATTGCGGCATGGCCATCATTCCTAAAGGGTAATTTCTGATTTTCTGATTCTCTGGTGAGTGTGTGCGCCTATAGCAAAAATCTCTCTCTAAAAAAAAAAAAAAAAATGCCACTTTATTCTCAAAATTAAACTATACTATACATTCCTGATAAAAACAACAAAAAGAATGAGAAATCTTTTAGACTCTGTCTGCTAAACTATAAAACTTGTGAGAGGCGCATATCCTTTGGGATTGATACTGTCCTCATTGTGCTAATTATATTTTAGCTCAGTAAGGAATTAAACACATAAAAATGGCTATTACTGCTCTCCCTTCGGCTAACACCTACTGCTTGCTGGGTCCTGATTTCGGCTCTCCCAGAGTCTGGTTTACCTCAGTCAGGATAGCAGCAGGAACTCCGGTGGCCATCAGGATAGTGCAGAGCTGCTGCAGTAACCCGCACTGGAACATGGCCTTCTGGCAGCTACTGGTTGCACCAGGAGGATTAGTGGGGGATACCAGTACGCGAACAAGCTGTGAAAGAAAAACAAATTTGTCTTTGAAAGATTTGAAAAGGTAGGCCAGCAGGTGACGTGCTGGTTGGGATGGCTGGATCCCACATGGCCCACTGCATGGTTCGAGTTCTAGACCCAGCGCCTTGGGTAAAACACCCTGTGCCTGCATGTCCAAAATCCTGACAGAACAGAGGTGAAGAGATTGTGGCATGGCCATCCCTCGAGGGGAGGTGACTTCTTTTTCTCTCTGTCTCTGATGAGTGCATGTGCCCCTATAGCAAAAAACTTTAAAAAAGAAAAAAGATTTGAAAAGACTCACAGCAGATGTGATCTGTGTGAACAAGAATATCTGTATGAAGCGAAGAATTCTTTCACCCACTCAGCCAAATCCGAATGCTCTTGGCTTCGTGCTCCCATGGCAACAGCCCTCTTCTATCAAGTACATTATGGTATACTCTACTACATACTCTACTATGTACACTACTACATACTCGTCTACGTACACTATTACACACTCTACTATATACACTACGACATACTCTATGATGCTGCTTGTTTAACCTCCTTCGGGTGACAGACTCTAAACTCTCAAGAGAGTTGGTCCTTCTTTATTTTTTTGGCCACAAGATATGTGTGCTTGAAAGAGAGAGAGAGAGACAGAGGGACAGGGAGAAAGCAAGCGAGAAATCACCCCCTAGGGGGGATGGCCACACTGCAATCCCTTCTCCTCCATTCTCCTCTTGGGGCTTTGGGCATGTACGCACACATGCCCAGTGTGATTTTCAAGCCACCAGGTCTTAGAACTCAAACCATGGTCAGCCATGTGAGAGTGAACACGTTTTACATTAATTAAGCTTGGTTCCTGGGGACCAGCAGGTGGCGTGGTGGTTAAGGCGCTGGACACTCCCACATGGCCGACTGGGGTTCAAGTCCTGAATCTGGTGGCTTGCTTTCTCATTTTCTTTCTCTCTTCCTCTCACCCTCTGTCTCTCTCTGATCAAATTAAAAAATAAATGAATAAATAAATAAATAAAATAAATAATTATAAAAAAAAATTAAACTTGGTTCCTTGGCTTTGGAGTTTATGCTCTCCAAGACCAGTAAGGGAGAAAAGCTTTATAAGCCAGTTTATTCACTTTTTAAAAGTATACTAAAGGGCCAGCAGATGGAGTAGTGGTTAGGTTGCTGGATTTCTACATGGCCAACGGCGTTTTCAGTCCTGGACTTGGTGGCTTGAAAAATCACACTGGATACTTGCACATGTGTGTCTAAGATCCCAGGAAGAGAATGGAGAAGTGATGGCAGCATGGACGTATATATACCCCCGGGGGGTGATTTCTCACTTTTTTTCTCTGTCTCTATCTCTCTGAGGATATACATGTCCTGTAGCAAGAATCTCTAAAAAAAAAAAAAAAAAAAAAAAAAAAAAAAAAAAACAAAAAAGAAGTAATTTCTTTTCTGTTTATATTCTAGAATCTATTAAATTTGTTCGTTCTTTTTTTTTTTTTTTTTTTTGGTAAAACAGTATTTTACCTTTAAAATAATGACACTTTCTTCAAAATAATTTTTTACATAGTACCCTAAACCATAAAACATAGGCAGGTTCCTAAAGCAGTTTAAACTTTTAAAAATTATTTAACTTTATTTAATTAATTTATTTATGTATGTATTTAAATTGACCAGAGAGGGACAGAGGCAGGTGGGGAGTGAGAAAGCAAGCTGCCAGGTTTTACCTTTAAAATAATGACACTTTCTTCAAAATAATTTTTTACATAGTACCCTAAACCATAAAACATAGGCAGGTTCCTAAAGCAGTTTAAACTTTTAAAAATTATTTAACTTTATTTAATTAATTTATTTATGTATGTATTTAAATTGACCAGAGAGGGACAGAGGCAGGTGGGGAGTGAGAAAGCAAGCTGCCAGGTCTGGGACTTGAACCGTGGTAGGCCATGCAGAAATCTAGCACCCTTAACCACCACATCACCTGCTGGCCTGACAATTTAAACTTTTATACAAGTTTTTTTTTTTAATAACATCAGATCCACTCAAACACTAATCACATTTTTGTTTTTTTGGAGAGGTTTTTACTACAGGGCAGGTGCACTCGGCAGAAAGACAGAAAGCGAGAAATTACCCCCCAGGGGGGCTGGCCACACCACAATCCCTTCTCCTCCATTCTCTTCTTGGGATCTTGGGCATGCACGCACATGCACCTGGCATGAGTTTAAGCCGCCAGGTCCGGGACTCAAACTGTGGCCAATTACATGAGAGTCTAGTGACTTAACTATTCACCATCTGGTGGTCCCTAAACACTAATCATATTTTGAAAAAATCACTTTCTAGAGATGTTTCCTTTATCAAGAAATTGGTGTTAAACAAAGATATCAAACTTGCCACTTGGTGATGCTGTTTCTAAAACATAAAAAACAAATACATTCTTAAAATGTATAATACTGACACATGGAAACAGAAATGATAAAGCTGGGAGTAAAAATAGAAGTCCTCTGTAACAGTTTTTAGGCATACTCTAAATAGGAGAGCTACATAATTTATGATCCAAACCAGGACACTTTTGAAGTGACAGAGGGCACTACCAGTAATTACGAGATAAATACTGCCCTGGCAAACTGGGGCACATGGTCATCCTAATTCTCAATCAATCCTATGCGGTCAACTCCCAGTGCATGGAACAGCATTTAGACTCGAATTACTAGATAGGTTAACTATCTAATTTGAAGACACAGGCCCAACTCAGAAGTATTTAGTCCCACAGAATAATTTGAATGTAAGTTGAGAGGCTGGTATAAACTTAAGGGTTTAGAAAAAGGAAATTCAAAAAAGGAGTGATATATCAAAAAACTTTAAAATTTTCTCTGATGCAGAGATCACTGGGATTCTAACTGTCCTCACTTTTACAGTCTACCATGATCAAACTTTCACCACAAAGCTTAAAAGTACAGGCAATTTGTCAATTTAACTTGTCCTGGATTTAAAACTCAGACCAGTAATCTTTGGGCACAGACACATTATTCACTTCCTAGTATACGGTGCCTGGCCCTCAGTAAATGTTTACTGAATGAATTTGCTGAACTTAATATTTTGAATATTCAAGTGCTAACGAAAAGAAAGCAGGTTAAAAAATTCAAATTAAAATTATCCTCTACTGTAAAACCCATTAGGAGACTATATGTCTGGATGAGCTTTAAAATAATATAGCAGAGCAAGAGAGAGAAATAAAAGATGAAACAAGACGGCCAGATGTTAATAATTATTGAGGTTTGGGGCCAGCAGGTGGCGTGGTGGTGGGGACACTGGACTCCCACATGGCTGACCGCAGTTCAAGTCCCAGACCTGGCAGCTTGCTTTCTCACTTTCTTTTTTTCCCCTCTGTCTTTTGCTGTCTCTGGTAAACGAACATACCCTATAGCAAATTAAAAATTAGTAATAATAAATAAAATGAAATAAATAATTCCAGAAAACAATTATTACAGAGGTAGAGTGAGGGCAGGCAGATAAATGGGATGGAGCTCTGTCTTTGAATATAACTGCATATTTCCATATCTAAAGAGTTTTAAGGCAGGGTCTGCTGGTGTCATGGTGGTTTCACTGGCTTCATCCCAACTGGCTAATGCATGGCCTAGCAGCTTGAAGAACATGCCAGGCATGTGTGCATGTCTGCCCAAAATCCCAAAAGGAGGGAGAAGTGGAGGAGAAAGGATTGCTGCAAGGTCATTCCCCATGTGGGGGCTACTTTTTTACTCCCTACTTCTCTCTGGTGAGCACACATGCCAAATTACAAAAATCAAACAAAGCAAGAAACAAACAAAAAACCAACTTTTTTAATTTTTCAAAGCCTACCTAGAACTGCCTAAATATCCTGGATTTATCAAACACAAGCAATTTATTTTTCTTTTAAATGACCGCTAGTTCTTATGCTTCTATCTAAGGATAGTGTACCTGGAGCATTAGGTGTAGATTGGTCACTTTCTGGGCAGACCAGCCGGAATTTTCATCTCCAACTTCAAACCAAGGTTTCATACGTTGAATATATGAGCCTTCTTTAAAAAAATTTTGATTGGAATTGTTGTTTTTTAACAAATTTTGGAGCAAAATCAAGCAATCTTCAACCACTATACCTGGGGAAAGAATGTAAAGTGGAAGTGTTGAGACTGATAAACCTGAAGGGAAAATGAATCCCTAAACATTTTTTAAAAGATCAGTTTCCATTCTCAGCTTCTCTTCCCTAGGGCCAGACAGGCAGCCTGATTGCAACGCCACAGGCTGCAATCTGTGTAGTCCTGTCAGGTCTCCTAGTGATTTCTCAACTTCTGTAAGTTCAACTATCCACTCACCTCAGCACCTCCTAGATCCTGAGAAATCATCCATCATCCCTCTGGGAGATGGCCCCACAGCAATCCCCTCTCCATTTTCCTTCTGAAATCTTGGGCATGCATGCACACATGCCCTGTCTGATTTTTAAGCCACCAGGTCTGGGACTTGAAACATGGTCGGCAATATAAGAGTCCAGTGATATAATTGCTGAACCATAGATCTTTCAAATCTCAGCTTAAATATCATTTTAACAAAAAAAAAATTTTTTTTGGAGAGGTTTTTGCTACAGGACGCGTGTGGTCGCCAGAAAGACAGAGAGAGACAGAGAGATAGAAAGCAAGAAATCATCCCCCAGGGGGGATGGCCACGCCGCCGTCCCCTCCTCCAGCCACGTCACTCACAACCAGCCTCTCCCTCTCGGCCCAGGGCTCTCACACATGCTAGTTCTCCTCCCTGAAATACTGTTCCCTGCACTCTTCACCTGGTTAAATCCTTTCATCCTTCACATCATTATTCAAATTTCATGGGAGCAGCAGTTAGCATAATGGCTATGTCACTGGACTCCCATGTAGTCGACCGCGGTTTGCGTCCTGGATCCAGTGGCTTAAACTCATGCTGGTTGCGTGTGCGTGCGTGCCCAGGATTCCGAGAGGAGAATGGCGTGTGCGGCGTGGCCATCCCCCTGGGGGGAGATTTCTCGTTTTCTGTCTCTCTGTCTCTCTCTGTCTGTCTGGTGAGTGCATACGCCCTATAGCAAAAAAAAAAAAAAAAAAAAAAAAAAAAAAAAAAAAACCCCCCCCCCCCAAAAAAAAAAAAAAAAAAAAAAAAAAAGATGAACAAGGCCCAGATCGAGATGAGAATCACCAGTTACATGTTCTTACACTAGCCTGCTCCTTTTATTATTAGGTAGTGTCTGTCTTCCCCACTGTTATAAGTCATGAACACAGGCATTGTGGGTGCCCTACTTACCTCTGCATCCTCACAGAGACAAAATCATCTGCTGGCCCCAACAGAGTTATTTTTATAAAAACTAAATTTGAGTCTTTGACAAAGTTCAATGAAAGCAAGTCATTAAAAAAACAGCTGCTGATAGGGCCAGCAGATGGTACAACGGTTACGTCACTGGACTCCCACATGGTCGGCCGTGGTTTGAGTCCCAGATCCAGTGGCTTACAACTCAAGCCGGTGGCACATGTGCATGTGTGCCCAAAATCCCAAGAGGAGAATGGAGAAGGGACTGCGGCATAGCCATCTCCCCAGGGGGTGATTTCTCACTTTCTGTCTTTCTCTGTCTCTTCGGCGACCACATGTACCCTATAGGAAAAATCTCTCTTTCTCAAAAACAAAAAACAAAAAACAAAAAACAAACAAACAAAAAAAACTATCTGAAGGTTCTGGAGGAAAAAAGATTGTCAAAGCCTTAATACAACTGGCAGGCCTTCCTTCAGTGCGTATCTAGTGAGTCTTAGAGCCTTAAGGGCCACTTTTAAAGAGCCACTGGAACTTGTCTTAGCAATCCTGAAGACCAGCTATTTCGGTCTTGCCTTAAAACCCTGTTTTTTCAATTATCTCCAAAATATACATCTCTCTGTCATCCACCTCTGCTGTTTGTTTCACCTTACAAAGTTCTGTTTCCTCTCCCTCACCCTCTTCTCAAATTCTTTCATGATGCTCTCTCACAGGCACGCACACTAGTTAATAAAATCAATGATTCTTATTTTTCTGAGAGAGAGAGAACAGTTGTTTTCATCAGATCTGCCCTACGGCTTCCCTGCCCAAGACTTCTACCCCACCAGACACCCTTCTCTCTCTTTAGATATTTCCTTTAGGGACCCAGCAGTTAGCGTAATGGCTATGTCGCTGGACTCCCACGTAGTCGACCGCGGTTCGTGTCCCGGACCCAGTGGCTTAAAAAACTCACGCCGGGCGCGTGTGCATGCGTGCCCAAGATCCCGAGAGGAGAATGGAGGAGAAGGGATTACGGCGTGACCATCCCCCCTGGGGGATGATTTCTCGCGCTTTCTGTCTCTATGTCTCTGTCTGTCTGGCGAGCGCATGTGCCCTATAGCAAAACCCTCTCCAAAAAAAAAAAAAAGATTTTCTATTTTGGGGACCAGTAGGTGGCATGGTGGTTAAGGCGCTGGCACTCCCACATGGCCAACCACGGTTCAAATCCTGGACCTGGTGGCTTGCTTTCTCACTTTCTCTCTCTCTCTGTGTCTGTCTCTGGTTAAATTAAAAATGAATAAATAAATACACTTAGATAAATCTTTAAAAAAAAAAAAAAAGAAATTTCCTTTATTCATTACTTCTTCCTCCATCTAGCTCAGATGACCAGATCTTCTTTTCTATCTTTCATTTATTTATCTACTTACTTATTTACAGTCATTCACTGTACATCAATATAGTACACAAAATGAGATTTTCCATCCAGTATACATTGTATACTGGCTCAATCAAGGATATTAACATACAGGTTACTGACAAATAATTTTCTATTTCTTATTTCTTATATATTTTGCCTCCCCCCTTAATCCTCCTACCTCTCACCCTCTGCCAACCCTCCCTGCCTTCTCCCACACTGTATCTGGTATGCACAGTGTTTTCCACGGCTTTTTTCCACCCACGTTTTATTGATTTGCTAAAGATTTTAATTTAAAGACTTTCAATAGCAAGCACAGCTGATATATACATATTTATGAACACATGTCTGACTTTAGGTGTAAACCTCAGAGAGTAAAGTGAACATACTATAAAGTAGCACCTCTGCAGGGGCTATATAGCTTGCTGCAGTCATTAAATAGGTATTAATAGGTATTTTTAGTGCATTTTACAATTTCAAAACAAAAAGTTTTAGTTTTAATAGATCAAAATCAAATGTTAAGAGAAATTTGCTTAAAATTTAAAGCCAAGAAAAAGGTTAGGATTCAGTTCAAATAGTAGGTAGATGAACCTATCAACAGTTCAACCCTTAAATATGGAAATTGAAGCATCAAAAATGTTTTAGTCTAAAGTAAAAAAATTCTATTTCACTTGGTCAGACTCATGTAATTAATCTCTCTTCTACTGAATCTGCAGTGTTACTGTGGTCTGATCTATTTAAACTCTGGAAGTTAACATTCAACTCCAGACTTGTCCCTATAATTAGACTGGTCATTCTCTTGGCTGTTTCTTGTACTCTTATTTCTGTGTGTCTGACTAGTTTTCCTGGGATAGCACTCCCTTCAGTACTTCTTGGAGAGCTGGCCTGGTGTTGGTAAATTCTTTCAGCTTCTGTTTATCTGAGAATGTTTTTGTCTTTTTTCCCCATATGAAAGATAATCTTGCTGGGTATAGTATTCTTGCTCAAAATTGTTTTCTGCTTAATACTTTGAATATATTTCCCATTCTTGTCTTGCTTGAATGAGAGATCTGATGTTAGTTAGCCTTATGAGATCTCCTTTGAAAGTAAATTGACATTTTTCTCTTGCCAATTTTAGTATCTTGTCTCTGCCTGTGGTTTTGGTCAGTCTGGCTATAATGTGCCTTGGGAAAGATCTTATTGGGTTGATTCTATGTGGGGTCCTTTGTATTTCTTGGGTCTGGATATTTGTGTGCCTGTCTAGGTTTGGAAAGTTTTCTTGCAGGATTTCATGGAATAGATTGATAATGTCCTGATTAGTTTCTTCACCTTCTGGGATACCGATGATCTGGATGTTTGGGCATTTAATAGTATCTAGTATTACTCGTATGTTATTTTCATTTTGGGGGGTTATTTTGTCTTTTTGGTGAATTTTTCTAGGTCAGAGATTCTATCTTCTACAGCTAAGATTTGATATTCTGCATGATCTAGTCTGCTTTTGATATTTTCAATGAAGTTTTGATTTCTTGTATTACGGCATTCATCTCTAACAATTCCGTTTGATTCTTTTTTATGATGTGTATCTCCTTCAGATCATACAAGAACTTCCTCACCTCCTGGAACTCAGTGTCGCTTTTCTCCTGCATCTTCTGGAGCTCATTGTCTCTCTTCTCTTGTATCTCTGTTAGCTTTGTCACTATGAATATTTTAAATTCTTTATCTGACATTTTCATGAGTTCCCTTGTATTCTTTATGGAGGGAAAGGAGTTATTGTTTTCCGTTAGAGGAGAGATATTTTCTTGGTTTCTCATATTTCTTGTGCCTCTGCTGTGGTTTTTGGTCTTCTGAAGGATTATACATTTTTTCCTATTTTTTGGAGTTAAATCTGAGCAATCAGAGGAATGCAGAAGGAGGTGACCTGCAGTCTGGCTCCTGGCTAGACTGGGGAGCAGAAGGGTAAAGTATGGACAGAGTGTCTTCAGTGGTTGAAATTCCTGAATGGGGCTGCTCAGAACTCAAATTCCAGATATTCATTTCTACTACTCTATTAAAAATAACCTGAGTTCTCTAGTTTCACTGTCTTTTATAGCACCATCCTGGGAAATGCCTCACCCTGTGAAAACCTACCTGACTTTTTTTCTACATCTATACTTGGGCAGCTCAATAGTGCTAATGGGGGAAAAAAAAAATCACAGGACCAAGCAGTTCATGCTGATATAAAACCATAAATGCCCTTGATGGGGCCCTTAACCTTGGTAGGAATGTTTCCTAATCATCAGAGCCAATTAGGTCTCCTATTCTCAAAGTACTACTTCTAACCTTCGCTGTTAATTCTCACTGTGTCCTCCCACTCCATGCCCAGTAGATGACTCTGCCTTCAACTCGACTCCCAAGCACCACATCTGCAAAGAGACCTGCATCTCCACCTTCGCCATCTGAGAGGTAGAGAAAAGGTGGTAGAGCAGCATTTGGAGACATAGCTAGGTTTCCGGAAATAATGAATGACACCAACCTGAACTGCAGAGGCCTGATAAACATCAAACAAGACAGATAAAAAGAATCCACACTCAACATGCCATAGTGAAAGAAGAAAGAAGAACAGTATAAAGTAGGAGTCCCCATTTCTTTCGATTGTATTCTCTGGCCCAAAGAGAGCCTCTCCCAATGGCGTCCTCAGACCATACCTCCATCACTGTTCCCCTCCTCCGTAATAATGTCCAGCAGTCTCTCAAAAGCATTTTCAAAAGCAACAATTTTCTGGATTGCTCCATTGCTTCTTGTTAGTGCCTGCAGTAGTAAGACACCCTGGCAGAGAAAAAAGATAATGTTCAGTTAAGTAAAACATCTATAAGACATCTTAAAATTAAAAGGGCCAGGAGGTGGCAGTGGTTAAAATGCTGGACTTCCACATGGCTGACCATAGTTCAAGTCCCAGACCCAGCCACTTAAAAATCATGCCTGGCATGTGTGCATACATGCCCAAAATCCTAAGAGAAGAATGGACAAGGGATTGTGGTACAGCCAGTCCCCCTGCGGAGTGATTTCTCACTTTCCCTTTCTCTGTCTCTTTCTGGTGAGCACACATGCCCTATGGCAAAAACTTTAAAAAAAAAAATAGATTGATAATGTCCTGATTAGTTTCTTCACCTTCTGGGATACCGATGATCTGGATGTTTGGGCATTTAATAGTATCTAGTATTACTCGTATGTTATTTTCATTTTGGGGGGTTATTTTGTCTTTTTGGTGAATTTTTCTAGGTCAGAGATTCTATCTTCTACAGCTAAGATTTGATATTCTGCATGATCTAGTCTGCTTTTGATATTTTCAATGAAGTTTTGATTTCTTGTATTACGGCATTCATCTCTAACAATTCCGTTTGATTCTTTTTTATGATGTGTATCTCCTTCAGATCATACAAGAACTTCCTCACCTCCTGGAACTCAGTGTCGCTTTTCTCCTGCATCTTCTGGAGCTCATTGTCTCTCTTCTCTTGTATCTCTGTTAGCTTTGTCACTATGAATATTTTAAATTCTTTATCTGACATTTTCATGAGTTCCCTTGTATTCTTTATGGAGGGAAAGGAGTTATTGTTTTCCGTTAGAGGAGAGATATTTTCTTGGTTTCTCATATTTCTTGTGCCTCTGCTGTGGTTTTTGGTCTTCTGAAGGATTATACATTTTTTCCTATTTTTTGGAGTTAAATCTGAGCAATCAGAGGAATGCAGAAGGAGGTGACCTGCAGTCTGGCTCCTGGCTAGACTGGGGAGCAGAAGGGTAAAGTATGGACAGAGTGTCTTCAGTGGTTGAAATTCCTGAATGGGGCTGCTCAGAACTCAAATTCCAGATATTCATTTCTACTACTCTATTAAAAATAACCTGAGTTCTCTAGTTTCACTGTCTTTTATAGCACCATCCTGGGAAATGCCTCACCCTGTGAAAACCTACCTGACTTTTTTTCTACATCTATACTTGGGCAGCTCAATAGTGCTAATGGGGGAAAAAAAAAATCACAGGACCAAGCAGTTCATGCTGATATAAAACCATAAATGCCCTTGATGGGGCCCTTAACCTTGGTAGGAATGTTTCCTAATCATCAGAGCCAATTAGGTCTCCTATTCTCAAAGTACTACTTCTAACCTTCGCTGTTAATTCTCACTGTGTCCTCCCACTCCATGCCCAGTAGATGACTCTGCCTTCAACTCGACTCCCAAGCACCACATCTGCAAAGAGACCTGCATCTCCACCTTCGCCATCTGAGAGGTAGAGAAAAGGTGGTAGAGCAGCATTTGGAGACATAGCTAGGTTTCCGGAAATAATGAATGACACCAACCTGAACTGCAGAGGCCTGATAAACATCAAACAAGACAGATAAAAAGAATCCACACTCAACATGCCATAGTGAAAGAAGAAAGAAGAACAGTATAAAGTAGGAGTCCCCATTTCTTTCGATTGTATTCTCTGGCCCAAAGAGAGCCTCTCCCAATGGCGTCCTCAGACCATACCTCCATCACTGTTCCCCTCCTCCGTAATAATGTCCAGCAGTCTCTCAAAAGCATTTTCAAAAGCAACAATTTTCTGGATTGCTCCATTGCTTCTTGTTAGTGCCTGCAGTAGTAAGACACCCTGGCAGAGAAAAAAGATAATGTTCAGTTAAGTAAAACATCTATAAGACATCTTAAAATTAAAAGGGCCAGGAGGTGGCAGTGGTTAAAATGCTGGACTTCCACATGGCTGACCATAGTTCAAGTCCCAGACCCAGCCACTTAAAAATCATGCCTGGCATGTGTGCATACATGCCCAAAATCCTAAGAGAAGAATGGACAAGGGATTGTGGTACAGCCAGTCCCCCTGCGGAGTGATTTCTCACTTTCCCTTTCTCTGTCTCTTTCTGGTGAGCACACATGCCCTATGGCAAAAACTTTAAAAAAAAAAAAAAAAAAAGGCTTTAAAAATCATAGAAGTTTGGGATCAGCAGTTGGTGTAATGGCTATGTCACTGGACTCCCATGTAGTCAACCACGGTTGGAGTCCTGGACCCAGTGGCTTAAATTCACACCAAGGATGTATGTGTGCATGCCCAAAATCCTGAGAGGAAAAGGGAGGAGAAGGGATTGTGGTGTGGCCATCCCCCCTGGGGGGTGATTTCTCACTTTCCCTTTCTCTGTCTCTTTCTGGTGAGCACACATGCCCTATGGCAAAAACTTAAAAAAAAAAAAAACAACAACAACAAAAAAAAACCCCACAGAATTTAAAAACTGGCAGGCATTTCAAAAGTCAAGCTCTTTTCCTTTACATACAGGGAAAAGAAAGAGAAAATTTAAGATGTGCCCCCCTAGGATTATAAATTTCAAAGGTTAGTGCCTAGACTAGGACCCATGTCTAACAAATTCCTAATCCAGGTTCTTTTCTATTGAATGACATAAATATACAATAATTCATCCCTATTTACCATTCATCACACAGGTCTCATTGTGACTTAAAGGAGCTGAGCGTTATCACGTCTGTACATGCTTCACAACAGTAATAACTGGAAGGCTGTGAGGTAACAATACAAATCAACAAATACTACCATATTCTAGCAGAGAAAGTTCAGCAATGCCTGTAAATATCTGGCCCCCAAATCCTCAAGGCGATTTTAAGTCAAGAGGGAAAAAAAAAACCATGGGCTTGCCTTGTGGCACAGTGGTTAAGGGACCGGCTCCTGGCCCCAGCAGCTTGAAAAACACGCTGGGCTCATGTGCCTGCGTGCATACCCCAAATCCTGACAGGACAGAGAAGAGGAGGAAGAGGGACTGTGGTATGACCACACCCAACTGGGGGTGTTTTCTCCTTCTTTCTTTTCTTCTCTATCTCTCTCTGGTATGCACATGTGCACTTTGGCCATAAATAAAAAAAAAAAAAGAAAAAAGATTTTTCCAATTTCTATCTAAAATATTATAATTTTGGTCAAGTTGCCGGTAACGACATGGAAAAAAGGTTCAAGTAACAAAAACGTATGGCCTCAATATACAATATTTAAACTTATATGCAAATAATAAATCAGAATAGACAATAATTCAAGAGCAAATTATGCTCTATAGCAAAATAGAGATCACCAAGGAAAATTCTTTGACATACATATTCGATCAAATGAGCATAAGAATTCCAAATGCAATCCTTTGTTAAGTGTACATGGTTCAACATTTCCTCTATTCTGGGGGAAAACGGGAGAGTTTGGTGTCAAATACAAACTTTCAGAAGAGGGTGGAAGAAATCCTAAACTTGCGGAAGAAATAAACTTGGATAATTAAGTGGCTTATCTAGTCCAAAATACAAGACGGGCAGTAAACGAAGAAAAGATGTGGCCTTGTATATAACTTTAAAAGATCTAAAAGACTGACACTAGCTCATCTTTCTAAATTTAACTTTTTGTAACACAGAATAAAGATAAATAAACTTTTTATTTGCAAAGAAGAAAAGAGCTGCATATTCTTGCACTTTTTTTAAATTAAAGAATTATTTTGAATTTTATTTATTATAATTATTATTTTAATTTAACCAGAAGGAGACAGGGGTGGGGGGGGGTTAAGAAAGCATGCCACCAGGTCTGGGATTTGAACCGTGGTCGGCCATGTGGGAGTCCAGTACTGCAACCACCATGCCGCTTGCTGGCTCCTGGATTTCTTTTTTCAAATTAAACTTACATCATTTCGTATAACTTCCCTGGAATCCGCTAGTAAGTCCATCAGTCTTGAAACACCTAGAATATACAACCATGTGAAAAATACTGGTAGAGTAAAAATATAAATAGTGATTCAAACTGTTAACAATTTATTAACACATTTCTTTCCCCTTCTCTATGAAATTATTATTATTATTTTTTAAAGACAGGACCTCTCTGTGCTTTGATCATTCTGACTCATCCAGCTGGGACAATGGGTACACATAATCATGCCCAGTTTTTTTTTTTTTTTTTTTTTTTTTTATAGACTATATATTTTTTTTTTTTTTACTTTACATGACTTCTCCCCTCATTTCAAGGGCAAATTTAGGGTAACAAGACTTTAATATGATGTGATTTTTTTTTTTTTAATAGACTATAGATTAGTTTATTTTTAACATCCATCATGCCAAGAATTCATAGGGAATAGGTTCCAGAAGCTCAGGCTCCTTTCCATTGGTTGTCACAGTGTGCTTCTCTGGGTGGAGCAGGCTCGTGCTTCAGTTGAACCCAGGTCCCTTTCTCTTTGGCTTCCTTCTTTTTCTGGTCATTTTCCTTCACACGTTTTAGGAAGCTATCTCTGCTCTTAGAATGCTTAATATGCTCAATACGCACATTAATTCTCTTGGCAAGAATCTTACCCTTAACTTGTTTGTTCACAACAATGCCAACAGCATGCTGGGTAACACTGTAGACTCTTTCAGTTTTGCCATGGTAACATTTGTGGGGCATTCCTTTTGAACAGTACCCATTCCCTTGATGTCTACAATATCATCTTTCTTGTAGATTTGCATATATGTTGCCAAAGGAACCACTCCGTGTTTTCTAAAAGGCCTAGAGAATATATATTGGGTTCCTCTCCTCTTTCCTTTTAAAGTGTTCGTCATTCTGGTTAATTACTGGAAGATGGCGGTTCCGGCCAAAAGGAAGCCAGGCCCAGCTCTTTCTTAGACAAAGTCTTGCTATGTTGCCCAGTCCAGTCTTGATCTCGTAACTCTCTGGCCTCTGTCTCTCAAATAGCTGGGATTACAGGTGCAAGCTACTGCACTAGCCTTCGGGTTGGATTGGAAATCAATCTCCAGACTCCCATGTGGTCCTGGTCTATGGAACACAGTGTCTTAGCAACATGTGTTATCCACCTGGGCACTTGCTCTTTCCTTTTTTTCTCCCCCAAGGTTTTTGCCACAGGGTGTGTGTTTTCATCAGAGACAGGGAGAGGGAAAGTGAGATATCACCTCCCTCCTCCTTGGGAGGAGGGCCACACCTCAATCCCTTCTTCCCCATTCACCTCCTGGGATTTTTGGCATGGACACACACACACCCAGTGTGATTTTTCAGCCCTCCATGTCAGGGATTCAAACTAAGGTCAGTCATGTAGAAATCCAGTACCTCAACTATCAAGCCACTTGCTGGTCCTGGGGCTTTCATATTTTAATGTTTATTTATTTTTTTTCATGAGGGTGAGAGAGAGACAGAGAGAAAGACTGATTCCCTCAACAAGGTCTCACACTGCAACTCACCCCGATAACCCTTCCAGAGAATCAGATCATAAGTATGGACATGTACATGTGCATGGCACATTCAGGTTGACCTGGGCACTGAACCCACAAACTTCCGTATGAATTCAGCATTACTGAGCAGTGTGCTACCACTCTGTTACCAAGGCTGGCCTGGGCACTCATTTTTTAAACAAAATGAAACAAGGAGGAGAAGTCACTTACCCATGGGACTGACTAAAATAATGTGTTGCACCTGAGGTCCTAGTTGTTTTAAAAGAGAAGTAAGAAGCTTCACACCAGGCCAGCGGACATGGAAATCAAACTCCTGCAATACGAAAATTTCAGATGTTTAACATCTACAATTCACATTTTCGAGAAAAACTTTTTTCAGTTAATAGTAATATGGCAAATTATAAGTAAATTATAAGTTTAGCAAACTTTTAAAAGCAATTTAATAAGTAAAAAGCAAAAAAAATATAGAGCAAATACATATTGATTAAACTGTTACTGATAGGATGAGATAATATTTTATAAAAATAGAAATAAGTCGAGAAGTAGACAGCATTTTTAACAGATTCTGTATTTCCTGAAACATACATGTGGATCTCTTGCTATCCTACAACAAAATACTTCACTACTTTAAAGGTGCATACATGGTATTTCCTCAGTAATACCCCAAAAGGTAGGAAAAGAAGCTTAGTAAGATGACAAAATGTCAAGGTTCCCTATTTACCTCCAATAAAGACAACAGGAGAGTGACATTTTCTTGTTGTTTAATGAAAATTTCTGTAAACTGGCTTCCCAAATCCTCACTCTGTCTCGTGGAATTTTCTTCTGTAATATTCAAAGATAAAGTACTTCAACATGAGGCTCTTTTATTATAAACTATTCTTTCACTTAAGAGTTAACCAGCAATGGTAATTTTCCTGGTATTTAACCAATTCAACACTGGAACAGTGGGGCTGGTAATGAGATCATAGTTATCACAGGATGCTATATACCTAAAATTGCTGCCATTTAAATACAGTTTTATTTTTTTAAAGTTTAAATGTGATATCCAAAGGAAACAAAACTTAAATATTAACATATTCTCCAAGATACTGTTAGGTTAAACTTCTATTAGGGCACAAGAGAACTGTTTAGGGGTAACAGAAATACTCTTACCTTAAATGTGGTTGTGGTCACGCTATTATATACTGTCACCCAAACTCATAGGACTACACTTCACAAAGTAAATTTAATTTAAAATTTTAAGAGTAAATAAATTTCACCTCCAAGCTTTCTCCCCACAAAGCATTATCAATTAGTCCTTGTGACTGTTAGTGTTACCGTGTTAAATCATCTAATTATAAAATCCAACCATCTGTGGATCCTTCAGTATCTTTTCCATATATATCTGATAAAGCTATTTGGCAAAAAATTAAGTTTCACTTATAATTACTCATTTATTATTAAAAATGTTTATATTTGTCCTTAATGCTTAAAAGTCTTTAAAGTTTTTGTTGTTTCAATGTACTCTGTCGAAGTGTAAACCACCATTAAAAAAAGAAGCAATGACTGCTAAAACAAATTATCATTTAACATCTGCTTATGGGGGCTGGCAGGTGGCATGGTGGTAAAAGGTGCTGGTAAAAGGTGTTGACTGTGGTTCAAATCCCAAACCTGGTGGCTTGCTTTCTCACTTTCCCTCTCTCTCTTTCTCTGTCTCCCTCTGATCAAACTGGACAATAATAATAAAATTAAAATAATTCTTCAAAATAAATAAATAAAATAAAACCTGCCTATATAATAAACTCAGTTAAAAGATGACAAACACATAACTCCCATTCCCTCTCCTACACCAGACATGGCTAACTGGTCGCAACACCTGCTGAATATCAGAAGTCTTTTCCACATACCGCTCCAGTATAAACCCAATGGAGCTAGCAAGCAGTCCAGATCGTCTATTTATTATTCCTCAAATAGTGGTTTTTATTAAATATAAGATTTTTTAAAAAAAATTATTTTTGTTTAACTTTATTTATTTTATTTATTTTTAGTTTGACCAGAGAGGGACAGAGCAAGAGAGCAAGAGAGAGAGAGAGAGCGGGAGAGAGAGAGAGAGAAAGCTGCCAGGTCCAGGACTCGAACTGCTCTAAGCCATATAGGAGTCCAGTGCCCTTAACCACCACGCCACGTGCTGGCACCTAAATGTAAGATTTTAATATTAATATAGTGTAGAAATGGGAAAAAAGCCAGCCGATAACAGGAAAATCAAGGCAACCCAACAGTGACAGTGACAAAATTCCATCTAATTATTTGTAGAGGAAAGAGAAAAATGAAGAGACCAAGTTGAAAATAAATGTTTTCCAATGTTGATTAAACAGCCAAATATGTTAGATTTATCTTTCAGAAACCCTAAGAAATATTTATTTTAATCATCTCTTCTACCAATAAAATAATTCAGTTTCTGAACGTTAAAACTGTAGTATTTAGGGGCCAGTAGGTAGCATGGTGATTAAGGTGGTGGACTCCCAATTGGGTGACAACAGTCCGAGACCTGGGCCTGGCAGCTTCAAAGTTATGCTGGGTATAGGTGTGTGAGGGCCCAAAATCCTGAGAGAAGAACAGAGAAGAGATTGTAGCATGGCCATTTCCCCTGGGAGGGGGGTGATTTCTCACTTTCCCCCTGTCACTCTTTGTCTGTACCCAATGGCAAAAATCTAAGAACACACAGACACACACACACACACACACACACACACACACACACACACACTATTTAAATGACAGCAACAACTATGGTTTTAAAAGGATTATTCTGGGGGCCACTAGGTGGCATGATGAAGAAGGTGCTGAACTCCCATATGGTTCAAGTCCTGAACCTGACAGCTTGCTTTCTCATATTTTCTCTGTATCTCTGGTCAAAACAGTAATAAATAAAATAAAATACATAATTCTTTATAAAAAGGGTTATTCTGGCTGCTATGCCAATAATTGTTTGCCAGGGAGCTAGGGATACAGAGAAACAGGTCAGGAGGCCATAATTAAGGTAAGAGGCTAAGGTAGCTTTTATCTTAGGGGTCATACTTTTTATGAAAACAGGAAACAATTTACTCACTTATTGGATAGAGAGGTGAGAGAGAGGAAAAAAAAAGAGTGACTCTAAGCTTTTGCGCTAAGTGGCTGGAAGGATGGAGCTGTTAATTCTGAGATGGGAAATACTGTGGGAGAAGCACATTGGGAGCTTAGAGAGAATGAGAAGTTTAGTTTTGGACAGGTTAGTTTTGGACATGTTTGAGACAGCTGACAAAAACCCAAGTGGAAATATCAGGTTAGCAGCTGGGTATATAAAAGCACAGATGTCAGCAAAGAAGCCTAGGTTGGACACACACATTAGAGTGTAAGTGGTATTTAAAGTCACAAGAGTGGATGGATGACAAAGAGCATCTACAGAAAACTTACAGCTAACATCACACTTAATGGTGAAAAAGTATGTTTTCCCCTTAAGATCAGGAAGGAAGTAAGAATGTCCACTCTCATCAAGTCTAGTCAACACTGTACTGGAGATCCTAGTCAGTGCCAAAAGGCAGGAGAAAGAAATAAAAGGCATACAGATTAGACAGGAAGAAGTAAAATTGTTTTTATTTACAAATGACACGTTCGTCTACATGGAATATCTTATGGAACCTAAGGTTGATATACAAAATTAATTATATTTATATTCTGGCAATGAACAGTTAGAAATGAAAATTTAAAAATAGTACCACTTACAACAGCACCAAAAAGGAACAAATTTGACCAAAGGTATGTACGATTTATACTGTGAAAACTGAAAAACTTTGGTGAGAGAAATTAAAGACCTATATACAGCGATATACTGTATTACTGTATCAGAAGGAGCAATATTATTAAGATTCAGTTCTCTCCAAATTGATCTACAGAGTCAATAGAATCCCAATCAAAATCTTAGTTGGCCTTTTTTAAGAAAATGGTTTTAAAATTGGTATGCAAATGCACACATTCTAAAACAGTCAAGACAATTCCGAAGAACAGAGCTGGAGGACTTGCACTATGTAATTTCAAGATTTATTATACATCTACAATAATGAAGACAGTGATATGCAGGCAAAAGATAGATATGCAGGTCAATGGAAGAGAATACAAAGTCCAGAAATAGACTCGTGAATTCAAAATGGATAATAGACCTAAGTATAAAACTAGAAAGAGACCACAGACCTAACCATAAGAATAAAACCATAAAACTTTTTTAAACCTTTGCTCTTCAAAGAATAATATTAGGAAATGTTATAAGAAAAATATCGTGAACAATATGTCACAAAGAACTTGCTTGTAGAATAGTAAGAAACGATTATAACTCAAGTATAAGATAACCTGGTTAAAAAAATCAGGCAGAAGACTTGAATAAATACCTTATCAAAGAACAAATACATATGGAACAAGTTTTCACATGAAAACTTGTTCAAAATCAGTATTCTTCAGGGAAATACAAATTAAAACTATAATGGGATACCATAACACATCTATTAAAGCCAGCTATGGGCTGGCTCTGTGGCCTGGTGGTTAAGGTAGCCTGATCTCTCATGGCTGACCATGTGGTTTAAGTCCTTGATCTGCAACTTGAAAAACATGCCAGGAGCACGTGCATGAGTGCCCAAAATCCACAGAGGAGGGAGAGGTGGAGAGGTAGGGACTGAAGTGTGACCATTCCCCGTGGGGAGTGCTTTCTCCTCCTCTCCTCTCTCTCTGGTGAGCACACGTGCAACTCAAGCAAAAATAAAGCAAAAGAAAACAGCTAAAAATGTAAAAAGTTGACCACATCAAGTGTTGGGAGTATGTGAAGGAACTAGAACTCAAACTGGTGGGGGTGTAAACAGTACAACTGCTTTGAAAAAGGTTTGACAATTTCCTATAAAGTTAAAAGTACACATACTGTATCACGTAGTCATTCTATTTCTAGGTATTGACTAGAGAAATGAAAACATATCTATATAGGGATTATACATGAATATTTATAGTAATCATAAATAGGATATAAAAGCCTAAGTTACATTTTTAAAATGTCAAAAATAGGGGCTATCAGGTGGTGTGGTGGTTAAGAGTGCTAGACTCCCACATGGCTGACCCTGGTTCAAGTCCCAGACCTGGCAGCTTTCTCTCTCTCTGTCCCTTTCTGGTCAAATTAAAAAGTAATACATAAGTAAATAAATGTTAAATAATTCTTATTTTAAAAAAAAGGTCAAAAATAGAATATGAAGGGACCAGCAGTTAGTCTTTCTGGCGAGTGCATGCGCCCTATAGCAAAAACCTCCCCCCCCCTCGAAAAAAAAAAAAAAAAAGGAAAGAAAAGCCCAGTGGATAAGAGGAGAAAACTGATAAAATGGACTCAATCTAAATTTAATAACTGGGGGACCTGCAGTTGGCATAATGGCTAGGTCACTGGACTTCCATGTAGTTGATCACGGTTTGAGTATCAGAGCCGGTGGCTTAAACTCATGCCAAGTGCTTGTGTGTGCGTGCCCAAGATCCCGAGAGGAGAATGGAGTAGAAGGGATTGCGGCATGGCCATTCCCCCTGGGGGGTGATTTCTTGCTTTCTGTTTCTCTGTCATTCTGGTGAGCACATGGGCCCTATAGCAGAAACCTCTCAAAAAAATTTGTTTTAATAACCAAACTAGAAACTACCCAAATACCTACCACCAACAGGAGAATGGATTTAAAAATTGTTATAAAAAAAAATTGTGGGACCAGCAGATGGCATAATGGTTACGTCACTGGACTGCCATGTAGTCAACTGTGATTCAAACCCCAGACCCAGTAGCTTAAAACTCATGC